TTTGGAAGAACTTGCTGTCAAGGAAGATCTTACTTATGAAGAGTATCCGATAAAGATCTTGGAAACTGCCGAAAGAGTTATAAGAAGCCGAACTATAAAGATGTGCAAGGTGCAGTGGAATCGATATACAGAGGATGAGGCTACTTGGGAAAGAGAAGAGGATCTGAGAAAGACTTATCCCCAACTGTTTGAGTAAGCAATCACCTGAATCTCGAGGACGAGATTCATCTTAAGGGGGGTAGAATTGAAATACCCTAATTTTGCATTTTCTAAAAAAATAGTCAAATTGATTTATTTAAGCAATTTATGTGAGCATTCAAACATAGGAAAGTAATAATTTTTATAAAACTAAAATCAAATATAAGATTAGCTACAAGTGATGCATACATGCTGCTGCATATTTATTTTTGTGATGAATGGTTTTGATTCAAAGTCCAAATGAATTCAAAATCTGATTGAAAATGAATTTGGGAAATTGTTGGAAAAAGGAAAAGAATTATTTTTTCCCCTCTCAATCCCTTCCTTGATTCTCGGCCCGCTCCTCCCACCAGCCCAACTCCCCTCCCCCCTTCTCATTTCTGGCCAAGGCCCAGAAAGCAGGCAGCCATTTTGGCTCGGCCTCCCCTGGCGCCCCACGCCCGGCCCGGCTGCCGCCCCAGCCCATGCCACCCCAGCTCCACGCTGCCCAAGTCATGCTGGCCACTGAAACCGCCCGCCTCCCTTTCCCCTCCATCGTGACCGCCTTGCCAGACCCCACGTGCCGCTGCCTCCTTCCTCCCGCAACGCAGCTTGACCCGGTCAAGCTGGCAAAGAACCGTCGCCCCGCTCCACGCATGAGTTAGTGCATTCAATTTTATCCTTAAAATTGGGTGTGACACCGGTGAGCTCTACGCCGGTGAACTCCACACACCGACGATTCTCCATTCTCCCAAGCAGCAAGGAGATGTTGCGCTGAAACCGCATGTTGTAAAGTATGTCTCAAGTATTTCAAATGTTTCGGAGGTATTTTGCAAGTGTTTAGTATGGATGTTGCAAAAGTAGATCGGGATGTTGCATATGTTGCAATGGTTGTACACGTATGTTGCAAACATCTGTTCCCAATGTTTCATCTGATTTTTCAAACGTATGTTGCAAGTGTTTTTATTTGGATGTTGTATATGTTTCACACATATGTTGCAAGTGTTTTTATTTGGATGTTGCATATGTTTTGCAATGTCTTTTTCAAGTGTTTTCAGATGTTTTTGCAAGTGTTTCAGACGTATGTTTCAAGTGTTTCATTTATCTTCAGACGATGTTTCAAAAGTAGATCGGGTGTTGCATGCGTACGGGAAGTGGAGGGATGGGGCGCTGCACGACGGCGGGTGCGGGAAGCGGAGGGGGATGCGCGGGGAGCGACGTGGGTGGTCCCCGCCTGGCATGGGCGTGCAGCCGCCGCGGCCATCCGGACGCTAGTACAGCCCTCGTAAAATCGGCATGTATATATAACTATATATGCTAAGAAAAGATTGCTTTCGTGTACCTACTTTTGAAGGGAGGCCATAGCCAAAAATTGTCTTGAGAGCATGTAAAAGCAAATGACAGGTTCGCCTTTGAACGAAGCACACACAAGAATAGGAAGAAAGATTTGAAGAACATAGTTTCAGGCATCGAACCCCTCGTGGCATACTGGCATCTTGCTTCTGAAACTTTAGTCTTCCTGTCAGCACGGTGGCACCTTGTGGTATCATACTTCTCACAGCGTCAAATGAAGCACCCTCAGCCCACAATCTGCAGTCTGACGAAGCTGGCACATTCAGGCTCAGCATTCAGACGTGCAGGAGGCCAGCCACTGGTAGTGGTAGTACAATATTTCCTCCAGTCAAAGCCAGCTGAGACTAGAGACAGGTGAGAGCTACTAGTAGTTCCTGTTCTTACTGACAGTCTATGTCAGATTTTTCTGAATACACGATATCATCAAAGACAGAATGAAACCTGATTATCCAAGCACATGACCCATCAGTTCAGAAGAGCCTAGCTAAATCACACAAGACTGCGACTGGATGAGAGGGGTTCTGTTGGTGAGGGCACCCAAGTTGAGCTACTGAAACTTCAATTGTCACAAGCCAGCACAGGTGAACAAAATTGGCAGAGGCATAATATCTTAGCATCACACAGAAAAAAAAATCCAAAACCAGGGAGAGATTAAATGAAACACGGTAGTACTATCCAATTATCACTTTATATAAGGATATATAAGGTACATGATTCTGCTTTACGGTTCAGTTCCAGACTCAAGGATCGCCAGATGAATGGAATACAGGGCGCTGTGACACATTGAACATTTTAGCTGCTACCCAATTCTAGTTGGATGCATGTATAACAAACAGATCTCTAGACTGGGGATTAGATGTGAGAAGGCTTTTAAGCCATCCCGCCGCTGGTTGCCGTCCTGATTATCTGAAACAACGCTGCAAAGGGAGAAGAGGCAAAGCGTGTTAATTCATCTCTACAGTAAATAAACTATAGGGATCAGATGGGTAATCACAGAAATGGCACAACCATGCAACAGTTTAACTAAATTATGCTGTGTGGGTTGTTTTGGGGTTGATACCTGGTATAGTTGACAATTTGGCATCAAATTAAATACATGTGCAGTGTTAGCACTAACATAAACTCTTGTTTGTTCATTCATAGTATGTTAAACATTCTAAAACAAAATTGTGCGTGTAGTCCTGATTTGATACTTGTAATGCTTTGGCATTACCCAGGAGCTAGCTATAGACTATTACAGTTGTTGCCCTTTATGTTAATGCTAGGATACAACTAGACACTTGTAAAACTCGTACTTGAATGGTTTTCAAAACAGGATATAAATGTATTTCTTATCAAGTATGTGAGGCAAATATTACTAGTCAGGACTAAGTGATATTAAGGGAGCTACACTAATGCCAAGCTGCCAACATGTAAATCTATGGCCACGAAGGTTAGAAGCTAAACTTCTGGATGAACCATATACATATTCTTATAGAAAGAAGGCGCACAGTGCATTCTAAAGTATGATGTCACCAGCATAAAACAAAAGAATATTAAAAGATTTAAAAGGATTGGAAGGCATACATGATCCAATGACGACAAAGATGAAGAACCCAAGCGCTACAGGGCCAACAGGGTAGTCATTTCCCTTCTTGACAGTGGTTTCAGGCACGGAACCCCTCCTGGTGATGTTCTTCTGGAACTTAGCAGTCTTCCGGTCAGCAAGGCGCCTTGAAGTAGTCTGTGAAAACAAAAGCCACAAATCAGCATATATGAATCTTAGTCAATCTGATAGCTGCTTAACACAGAGAGTCAAGCAATAAGCAAACGTGTCAGTGGTTTTTCAGGTTCAATGCAGTTGCCAGATGAGGTTGAATGAAAAACAAAATGTCGTCCGCTCGGCCATTTAGAGCAGTATTAGATGAGAGGAACACACAAAGGTTTGAGTTTTCTGAACCATATGCCATTTCCGGTCCAGTAAAAGAAATGGGTCAGCAGTTCTTGTGTAGTCCACCTTGATCAAAGGAATAAAGGTCTCTTATTCGATCATTTCTATTCCCAAACTCGTTTCGTATACCAAACATTTCCATCTCTAAGCTACAACAAGCTCGTATACATCCTAAATCAGACGAGGGCAAGTTCAACAACCACCGACTATCCTTTGCAGTCTGTATTACTTAAAACCATTGCAACCCTGAATTTTGCAAACGTGCATCCTTCGCCGCCACACATATGCCAAGAATGGCAGACCACCAATTAATAGGCGGGCGAGGGAGAGAGATCTTATCTATCTATCCCGAGATCTGGGCTCGATCCTGGATCCCCCATCCAATTCCGACCCAGGAGGAGGACGACAAACGCACAAATCCTCGGCGTAGGAGAGTGGTTCGGAGTCGCTTACCATGTTCCCGCCGGTGAGTGATGTGTGTCGCCGGACCGAGCCTGCGGTTGGGGGGAGCAGCACGCAGGCAGGAGCACGAGTGCGCGAGAGAGGGAGGGATGTTTTGCGTTGCGTGTGCAAGGCGAGGGTGTTTTATTTTATAGGAAAGTGGCGTGCCCGACCGCCTCCCTGCCTTTGCGTGGTGGTGCGACCGCGTGGAATGAGACCGTGGGCCGCGCAGGGGAGGCCGTCTCCTTCTGGTTCCGTGGGCCCGGACGGACGAGGGCCGTCGGTGCCACCTCGAGATCCGTGCGCTAGAGGGGTCGGCGCACGCGGGGGTTTGACTTGGCCTCCTGTGTCTGTGGTCCCAGGCCGGTTGGGCACCCCGTCTCCGCCTGCACGACGAGTCGACGACGTGCCGTGGACTTGTTCCCCGCCCGCGACTTGATCCCGTCGGCTACGGTACGGTGTCACGGCGCCAACGAACGTGAGGGGGCGACCACGTCACGTGCCGTGGCCTGGTGGGCTGCCCCGGCCGACAGTCCGCTCTCCGCCATACTTATCAGTACATGATACAATATTTTTCTCTTATAATAAAACAGCATTCTCTTATAATAAAACAGCATCCGGTAGCCAGCGAACAGGGTGCTCGTTGGACACCCACCCACCCGCACGCGCGTGCCGTGCCGTGCGTCCACGGTGCCACGGCACACGGGGCTCCGGGCTCGGCATCAGGCCCGGCTTACCTACCTTTGGCTTCAACAAGATTCAATGCCGTTGCTTCCGCATCCATTCAGACAATCCTAACGAGACCAATGTTACGTACATCGACTGCAACACTTGTGTAGATACAAAAAAAAAACATTTCAACTGTATAGCTACGCTGTTGGTTACTCTAATTACCAGGATACAATCCATACAGTGCAAACCAATTCACTACAGTATTAAACAATGCTGCGCTCCTACAGTCGATTTTTATAAAATGCAGTATTAGTCATATATAAAGTTACTACTAGTTACTACTACTCCAGTTGTTAAACAACCACGTCTAACAGCAAACAATCATCAGACCGACGGAGCGGCAATGCCCGCCCTGCCCACGTCACCGCTACATGGACCGCGGCCCGTCTGGTTTGGCCGACGGCATGCTGCGGACGTTCTTCAGCAGGTCCTGGATCTTGGACAGCATCATGACCTGCGAGGGGTCGCCGCCAGAGCTCCCGCCCCCCATCCCAACGCCGACGCCGCCCCTGCTGCTCGCGGCGTGCGGATGCGGCGCCGCGCGCTGGTTGTTCTCCTGCAGCTTGATCTTCTCGAAGATGAACTGCTTCTCAGCCTCGGCCTCCTCGAGGCGGCGTTTCAGGTACATGCTCGCGAGGTCCTGGCCTGCCTCCTCCGACTTCTTCTTCGCCAGCGCGACGCTCCGCAGCCGCTCCGCCTCCTCCTGGGCCTCGGTCGCCTTCAGCTGGAACATCTCCGACTCCGCCTGCTTCAGCCGGATGATGCTCTCCAGCTCCTCCGCCTGCTGCAGCTTCCGCAGCCGCTCCACCTTCAGCTCCTGGGCCTCCCGCGCCTTCTCCTCCAGCTCCCGGTCGCACGCCTCCACGGCGAGCCGGGCACGTTTGTACATTCGCAGTTTCTCTTCTGCCACGATCTCCATCTTTCTGACGGCTTCTTGGACGACCTCGGCGATCCGGTTGCAGGCTTCCTGGGGAGTGATCAGGCGCCCTGGCTCTTCGTTCTCAAAGCTCTTGGAGGAATCAATATCCAGCTCTGGGAAATACAAGAGAGTGTTAAACGTATCCTGTTCACCATTCAGAAGAAAAGAAAAAGCAATCACAAAAACAGAAGATGCTGAACATAGTTCAGTAAATATGACATTCACATGGAAAATTATGACAGTTACTATCTTTGCTATCAGAAACAATTTATTTTCCATGCAAATAGCCTAAACATGCAGATGAAGCAAAACCACAAACCCAATCCAACATAAATGAACACAGCTCATAGAAAATTTTAGGTCAGTTTCAATTGGCAAAAACTACTTTGTATAGAGCAAGCACAGGCCAGCTGTTCAAGCTAGTCAAACTAGTGCACAGAAAGAGTAGCAGGGAGGTCTCTACCCCATAAACAAACACACAGGCTGGAGAATACAGCCTGGAGAACAATCAGGGACATGTTTATCATGGGTACAGTAGCAGAATGAACAGGTACCAAATAAATTATCACAGAATCCTTAAATCACAACGTGACAATTATGAATGCACAATATTTACCGTATAATTGTTGCTGACTTGACCGGAAAATAATTATGGTAGACAAATCTATTCAACTACAAGGTGAAGATGTCCAACCAGAATTGCTTGAGTGATTCTAAAAGAAACATCTAATCGACTCATGCTTTGATTATGAAAATGGTTTCCGTGGAAATTATCATCAGTAGAGCACCAAACAACTGACTTAAAATGTTATTGTTGTTTCAAAGTAACTGTCAAGTAAAACCAGGCTATGGAGATTATATGAGCTGGATGGCAGTAACAAGCCTGAATGTGCCTGTAGAGTGCATGTAGTGGAATAGCTACAGTTTTGAGTAAATCCAAACAAATTTGTGGATGAAAGCACTATTGTCTGTGGCATTCAGAAATTTAGCTTTCAAGTTATTGTCTGTAGAGGCCCTGCAGTGCACTGAGCTACAAACTAGCTGGAAAGCAGACAATTGAAGAGCACAGCATGGGCTAGAATGATGCAGATTGCCTAAAGAACCAACATGGGTTTATGTGCAATATGACAAAAAAAAAGAGTCTGCAGGTGTAGAGCTAAACATGAAACAGGACAGCCAAAATTTTAAAATTTATGTACACTCAGGGAAGCAGTCTTATTATGTTCCAGCATTGAACACAAAACAATAATAAAATTTGATACATCAAAGGTAATAGTTTCAATACATCATGCATGCCAATGCACAAAATGCAGCCAAGTCCAACCTGAACAAAAGAACTACTTACTGAAATTAAATCCAAACTGAAGAAATGAACTACTAACTGAAATTTATCATGCAAACTAACATGTAGCAAATAACAAGAAGTCCAGACAGCATACTGTGTATTTGACAAGTAACAAGTCTGCATCATTCTATTTATACCTATAAGCAATTAAAGTACAAAATTCCAACCACAGTTGCAGCAGGAAACAAGCACCACAAGTAATTCAATTCAACTGAGTGCATAGATAAGAATAGACCGAAATATGAGTAGATAAATTGCAGGACCACAAGTAAGCTATGTGTGAGTCACTCCATGTCACATACAAGTTAGGTTAACAAACCACATGTACCTTGCAGTGCTTGTAGCAGAATTCTAGGACTCATTGATTCGGCAGAACTGCTCCTCAATCTTTCAACTAGCTCAGCACATTTTCTAAACAATTTCCTCCCTTTTGAGTCCTCACTTAGACGGAATATCTTGCAAACATAGTCGAGCTCCCGCAGCAAGGCATCCCTGTCCCAACCAGGCGCACATTGCTGAAAGACATCCCTAACCCATCCGAACAGTTCAGATGTCCTCTGGCAGGCCTGGCACCGGAAAAGCATCTCCGCATGGCCAATGCCATTCTTAATCATCTGCCCAGTCCCAATCTGTCCATCACGAATTGCACAGTCCGTGTGAGTCCAGTGTGAGCAGATATCACAGCCAACCCAGCGGCACGTATTGACCTCAAAATCAAACTTATTGCAGATCACACACATGCAGAGATTACAAAACCCATTCCTGTTGCTGCATATGTTACACTTGCACTCCTCAGCGGGTACAGCACTCTGGCAGGCGATGTTGCGGCACCTCTTGTACAGGAAAATCTCGGCAAGGCGGCTCTGGGGTATGTCGACGCTCGGATGCAAGAACGCCTGTATCCCAGTCTTGATGGCAACCAGGATCTCCAGCTGCACGTGATGAGCCATCAAAAGGATGGGCAGGGTCAGATCCACCCTGCCCTGAACAAGCTTCTGCAGGTACATGAACTCCTGAATCTGGTGCGGGCCGCCATTGCCTTCCAGAATCGACCGCAACTCGGTCTTGGTCTCGTCCAGCAGCTCGTCACTCATACCCTTCATCTTCTCCGCAACAAGGTCCACCCGTTCCCGAGCGACCTCCCTGAGCGTCATCCAACCGGCACTCGGGATCCTACTCCAGATGGCCTGCAGCTCGGCGACGCCATTACCAACCACCTCCTTCTCCTTACTATCAGCTACCCTCAGCGCAGTTATCGGCGCTGCTGCCATGGGAGGACCGCCGCCACTGCCACCACCACTCTTGCCAGGCTCCCCGGGCCACGTCTCCCGCGAGCTGGCGCTCTCGGTAGCGGAGTCGTGCCCACCGTCAGAGTTGGACAACGGCTCCTGCGTGTCTGGAGGTGAGCCGACCTGCTCCGACGAGGCAGCGCCACCCAGGGAGAGAGACGTCTGCAGCGTTGGCGCTCGGCCGTTGGGGCGCGGCGGCGGCAACCCCTGTGGGGTCGGTTGCTGCTGCTGCTGCTGCTGCTGGTGGTGGAAGTCCGCGCCTGACGAGGTCCCCATCTGGGAATCAAAACCTTGGCAAACGAAACCTGCAGAGGAACAACAGAAAATAAAAGCAATCATCAATCAATCATCAGATTGACAGCAAAATAAAAGCGCCTAGCACATCATGAGCATGGTTAGCCGCCCCTGATTTTTAATTTTGTTAGTGACCGAACGCACAACACAACTGGGACGCGTTTCTGCTGTTACTGTCAGATTGGGCAGAAAAACACCGCGGCAAACGGATTAGCTGCGATTTGCCCCTGCCCCTGAGGCCTGACCTCATCGGTTGGAGGTGGTAGTCAAGCAACGAATCAACACCAAGGAGCGACCGCGTTCCTCCACCCAGGTGGAGATCAGAATCCGGCGGCGGCGGCGACGGGAGCGGCGAGACGAGGGAGCCACCGGCACGGTAGACATCACGGACGCGAAAAATCCTGGGCGAAAAACCGAACGAGAACCGCCTCCCTCGTTTCCCATTCCCGTCCAATCCACCCCCACCTGACCTACCCACCCAATCCAGCAGCACAGCGCCGTCGAAACCCCAGATCCCGTCCGCCGGACCCCTACCCATCTGACGAGACAAGGAGCAGCAGCAGCACCAGGGCGAGGAAGAACTCACAGCATCGAAGACGAGCCACAGACGAGAAACAGCCGCCGCCGCCGCCCTTGACCCTTGAAGAAGAGGCCGCCGCTCCGGGTGAGGTGAGGTAATTTGAGTTGTGTGGAACGGGGAGAAATGGAACGAAATGGGGAGTCCAGGTCCAGCACAAGATGGAAGGGGAAGGAGTAAGAGACTTAGCCACAGTGTGTGCGATTATAAAGATCGTAATCATGCGCGCGGAAAAAATTTTATCTACTTCACTTTGGATCGCCATAAAATGCCACTTACGTTAGTCGCCTTAACGCCGTCACAACTATAGGTGTGTGGCTAAATGCATTTAATTTCAAATATGTTGGACCCCAGCCACACCCCCTTTCCCTTCCTTGAACCTCAGAAAGCTTAGATCTAAGTCCGAGATCTATAATACATATAAAAATTATTTTCATTTAATTCGCAAAAAAATATGATGATTTTTCCATATATTAATCATATTTTTTTTTTTTGTTTAAATGAAAATAATTTTTATATGAAAATTATGATCTCGACGAGATCTACAACTTTCTAATTTTGAGTTTTTTCATTTGAAGTCGTTAAGATGCTCAAAAAGTTTTAACATATTTGAACATGGCATTTTATCTTTTTACACCTCGTAGCATCGGCACACAATGTCGAGGCATTGATGAGGAGAGAGAGAGAGAGTGCCAAGGAATTTTTCCAGACACATTTGAATTGTGATCTTTTATTTTTAATGGCTGAAAAAAGTCTCAAAGAGTAAGAGGGTGTTATCCAGTGACTAAGGATGTCGGGTGTACGAATATTAGTAAAATAAATAAATTATAAAATCCGTCGTACTTCACAGGATGAATTTATTAAACTTAATTAATATGGTATTAGTACATGTTTACTGTAGCACCACACTGTCAAATAATGGACTAATTAGACTTAGAAGATTCGTCTCATAAATTAGTCGCAAACCATGTAATTAGTTTCATAATTAGTCTATATTTAATACTCCATGCATATGTCAAACATCCGATGGGACATCGACTAAAATTTAGGAGGAGGAACCAAACACCCTCTAAGTGTAGTGAACTCGGGATTTTCTGATTACTCTCTAGAATGAGTATATGGCCGAGATAAATAACAAATGTATTGTGGGACTCAATGCATGAGAAAAATCCCAAATTATGATTATTATAGAATATCATATTGCATTGAAAGTTGAATTTTCAAGGTTGTATGCCTATAGATTGAGGTATAATGCTGCTCTATAAACAATAGCTTGAAGGTTTATATTAAATGTCTAGAAGACAAGATGGTAAATAAGATTTTATCAATGTATATTCTCGAAGAAATGTCCCTTGTGTATAGAATATCAAAGAGCAATGTAATACATGAAGTATTTGAATTTACCATTAGAAATTACTCAGATAGAAATGGTGTTGAAATTTTTAAACAGCTTTATAAACTAGGATATTGTCAGTTACAATAACTTTGAATATGTGGCTTACATATGTTACACCCCTTCAAGGCTTGTGACTATATATGATAACTATTGAGTATAAAGCATGAAGCTACCGCCTGTCATGTAGAGAAGTTAAGACATGCAAGAATGGATATTATTTAGAATATTTAAGGTTTTTTAAGAAGAACTTAAATCATGTGCTTAGATTTGTTGTCTTTGAAATTCATATCCTGAAATATTGATAGTAGTGGTAGTGGTGCTTTAAGTTTTAATTCTCGTTGAATTAAGTGGATTTTGTAAACTCATAGAAGAGTTAATGATTACTTTATTAGCTTGAAAACCAATATGAAGCATTTAATATTTTTAGTTGAAATTTTTACTTGCAGTAATATGTGTCAATCTTGCATGGAATAAATTATAGATTTATATGATTCACATATAAATAATTGCCTAACTTTGTATTAATTTTATCCACAAAGAAGCCTCTATTAACCATGAAGGTTATAGTTATTTATGCACTACTACCATGTAGGTAGAAGGAAATTGGATTTTCTAGAAGCACATGAATAATTGGACTATACTGGCATATTAACTGATCTTAAAAGAATCAATTTAGACAAAAATTATATAATTCTAAAACTAAGTATCTAATACTTTAGCCCAGAAACTAGAAGTTTATGTCCTACCTTGAATCCGTTGTTGTACACTAAATAGTATACTGGATATGTAAATTTCATGCCACAATCATTAAATACTAGAAGTATTATTAAATTATATGGAACATTTGAAATGATTATTCATAGATGCATGAAGCTTATTACTACTTGAAGTAATTATGGAATAAAAAGGGTCAGCAATTTTGGGTAAAGACATAAAAAATGTGGGTAATATATATTTAATAGGCATAGCCTTCCTAAATCTATCTTTAAGTGTATATATCAGGACTTGAAGTTCTAGTAGCGTCCCTTCCGGCCGAGTTAATTTTATCTACATCGCACTAATTGTAAGTAAGCTTGTAGCTTTGCATTTTGTTGTTATCTATTACGTTGAATTGAATATCAACATTCCACCTTACACATGAATGTGTATCACTATGTTGTGCTCTCGTTGAGCTGCAACTATCTCCACTCCTACATAATATTAGCATAGAAGCTATATTCATAGCTTGTAGCTACTATATTTTTCCTCATAATTAAATTGGCTATTTAGCACGTTAGTAGTTCTCATTGAACTAAGAAATATTTGCTTTCAATACGTTGCATGCATAAGCATTATATTAGTCTATGGCGAAGTAGTCTAAGATCGGGGGGGTTGGTTAATATGAAATTAGCTAAATGGAGAAGTGACCCAATTGATGGGATGAATGATTGTGGAATTAAGATGGTAGATAACACACTTAGATGATTTGGGATTTTTGAAGAAAAGGCATTTAGGAAATTTTGTATTAATAACAATTAGAAATTTCTAGAAGATATTCCATGTGATTTTGAATGTTGCGTATTTTATACATTTGAATTGTATGGTCCATTATTTTTTAATGTATGAGTACTTGATCAATTTTTTTACTAAACAATAAAGAAGCTAGACAATGAAATAGTTTTCTAAACTATGATATGTGCAAAACAGGGGTGAACACCCCAGAGTTTATAGGAATGATAAACATTCTTTATTGCATTTTATGTATTCTAGCTCGCTGTATATAATGTATAATAACCCCCGTATTTAAATATGTACGTGAATATTTTCCATAAAATTTTATCATAAAATACATAAATGGACCTCCACTTATAGTTGGAGATATATGAATTTAAATTATTTTAAGCCCATCATAGGGGATATCTTCTGAAATATGCTATTAAAGATCTAATATTGGCATTAGGGGGAGAAAAGTCTATTTTGAATGCCAAATATTATTTTCATAGAAAAAAATATTCCTTAAAGCTTGAAGCAGGAATAGTATCACACACTAAATCAAACAATAGTTTGACAAATGCTCTTATGAAGCATGAAGCGGAGCATATGCCAGATATTTTTTAAAATGAGAGGAGTAACTTGAAGTTATAAACCAGAAGTTGTGTTTACAAGTAGTAAACTAAATGTTGTATACTATTAAGCTAAAATCTACGGGATGTCTGTGGGTTCTAATTTATTGTATACATGTTAAATAAAATAAGAAAAAAACTCCTCCATTCTCATGAAGAGAACACCTCATGAAGAAGGTTAAACACCTCATGAAGAGGATCATCATGAAGATGAAATCCAACAAACTAAGCGCGCGTAATCATTAGTGTTGGGTATGTAGAACAACAAATCATCTCTTATTTGGAAAATGATAAAGAGATAAAATAATCTCACATTGTGAGAATATTAGGAGAAAATAATAGTTGTCGACAACGCTACCTCTATAATTGCAAATGTTTCTCTTATGAGAACCTAGATCCGGAAAACAAAGTCCATGGCAAGGTTGCTTGTAGCAATTATATTAGGTCAATAAAGAAAGCAATTGAGGGTGAATCTCTTACTAAAAAGAAATTAAATGTTATGCTATATCTCTAGCAAATGAATTGAATGAATATTGAATATGTAGTTAATAAATGGATTATGAAAATCCATATAATTCCTGAAGAATATAAATCGTAACATATGAAAATTAAATCTCACACAAGTACTAAGAAGTCTAAGGTAGAATATATTCATGAATGAATATTGAAGTCTCAAGAAAAGCATGTCCTAGAAAGAATAAAGTTATTGAATGACTTTATAGTGAATAACACTATCTCATTGTGTATATCTCATAATAATCTCTCATGCAGCAGAGAATATATCTCATAGAAGAGAAATATAATTCACCCAAGACAAGAACATCTTTGAAGGAATTAATCATGAAGGATTTACCAGTCGATTCTTGAATAAACACCATTAATTCATGAAGTGAATATAGACCGAGAGAAAAAATGAGAAATCCTAAACACCACGAAGGTGTTATAAGAACACTCAGAAAGTGCATATTGAAAGCTAGCAATAAAGTGGTGATATCCTCTAAATACCATAGAAGCTATAAGAAAAATGGTGATTTTGTCAATTGAATTATCCCATAAATACCAAATGCAAGACTGATTTATTATTTAGTGGTACAATTAAAATCCTGAAGATTTGTAAACATATAATTCAAAAAAACCACTAAGGGAGAATATAAGTATTTAAACTCTAGTACAAGTTTGATGTACTATCTAGAAGATATTGAATATTATAAATTATTTACCCCCAGAATCCTTTGAAAGGATTTATTATTCTGATGGATAAATTTTATTTGTTTTGCACAACTAATAAGTGGTCATTTATGCATGAAGCATATTGCTCTTGTTTACTCATATTATAATTCATAGAAGAATTACGAGCCAACATTTTGAAAGATATAGTATTGTGGTACTGCATACCATTATTAAGCACACACTTATAAAAAGTGTGGTTTGAACAATGATGTTCAAAGGATGGCTTTATGAGGGGGAGCAATTTGATTGAATTTACCTTTAAAGATAATTAAAACCACTAGAATTACAAAGATCAAGTAGATCATATTTGCTAAAACATTGAAGTTTATGCATAGATCATGAAGATCAATATCTATTCATGAAGAATAGAATATCTTGAAGAATATATGATCAAGAAGGTTAAATGTTGTACTTTTTTTCTTAGAGAGAATTATTTCTATGGCCCTGTTAAACTCAGTTATTCCTTGTATGGCCCTGAAAAATTAGAAATTCCTTGTATGGCCCTGTGCTCGAATTTCATTGCCCTATATGGCACTACCGTCCGTTTTGTTAATTTTCTCAGTTAAAAAGTGGGTCCCTTTTGTCATATTGTGTTTGAGTAAATAGAAATACCCCTAGCCTCCTCTCCCTTCTATCTCATGAACGACCGAGCTCGTAAAAAAAAGAACAACTCATCCCCGAGTGGAACCCGTAGCCTCCTCTCAGTCCTCGAGCGGAACCCTAGATCGACGATTCAGGGGCACGGTGGACGTGACAGGGGGCCAGGCCGGCTGTGCACGGATTCAAGGGGCCTGGCCGGTGGTGCTAGGCAGCAAGGGGTGGCAGCGGAGCAAGGGGCAAAGGGCCACAGCCAGCGGCGCCGCCTCCTATAGGGGGCGCGGCCAGGCCCGCGGCAAGCAGCTAGGGTGGGGCGCGACGCCCTGCTCCTGATGGCTAGGGATGAGGCGGAAGCTGAGGTCGAGGCGCGGCCCCTCCAAGCCGAGGGCGCGGTACCGATGGAGCCGAAACATAGCATGGAGCACGCATTGACTCGGATGCTTGTGCCCCAGTTTAGTTAGAATCGTATAGCAGGAAAATGTACGACAACAGCATATCTAAAACTAGTTCCTTGTTCATGTATTGGTTGGATCCAAATTCAACTTTCTATCTCAAAATTAAGTTGTTTGGTAACCCAAAAAAGCAAAAAAAAAGATGTCAGATGTTTTAACTTTGAGAAAGTTCTTGATTCAGACTTGACAAATTATATGGATTTAGTTACATCAATTGGTCAGCAATACCCTCCTGGCTATTTAGAAGTTGCACATGTCCAGTATTATGATGATGCTTTGAAAACCTTCCCAAAAGTGAAATATGACCAAGATTTAATGTCTATGTTTGAGAAACACCATAAGACAAAGGTCGTACATATGTTCGCTGCATATTGTGACCCCCTCTGAGATGTATGAACCTATCACTGAGTGGAATTTTGATGAGGAAGAGCAACTTAATATGAACACAGAAGAAACGGAAGATGATTCTTACCTTCATAACCCATTACTAGAGAATGAATTTGTAGGTGTTGATGAAGATGGTATGTATCTACAAATTGTTCCTACAAACAATGTGGGAAAAGCATATGGATGGTGATGGTGATGGGGGATGTGATGAGGATGGTGATGGGGAGGTGATGAGGATGGTGATGGTGATGGTCATGAAGATGGTGATGGTGATGGGGAGGACGGTGATGGTGAGGATGGTGATGGGAGTGAGGATATGGAAGTTGATGAGGAGTTGGCTGACTATGGGAAAGATCACACACATAATGTGGATTATGATAAAAACGACCCTCCAATGGCAGTAGGCACCATGTATCCCAATATGAAAGAGTTTAAGGTGGCCCTTTCCCAGCATGCAATAAACATGAATTTGAATTCAATATTGAGAAGAGTGCACCATCTAGATATTGGATCTATTGCTCAAGGAGAGACAAAGACAATTGTCCATGGAGGTTACATGCATCTACAATGCAGGATATGCACACTGTTATGGTAATTATCTAACCTTGTTCATTTATCTGACCTTGTGCATTGTTTTTCATTACCTCTTTTTAAGCTTGTTTTGTCTTATGTAGGTTAAAAAGAACCCTGCTGCTCATTGATGCTCTAGTAGTAGACGATCAAAAAGGGTAAAGAATGCAACCAAGTTTTGGATACATGAAAAGTTGAAAGATTGGTTGATTGAAGATGCAACCCTTGGAGCATCGAAAAGGTAATTCTCTCCGTTCCTATATGTATAGCTGCTGTCCATTCCCTATAGTCCAACATTACTGTTGTTTTAGTCCCATGAGTTTCATCCAAAAATATTTGTTCTTTGAGATGTACAGGTGCAGATCAAGAAGTTGCTCCAATAAGCTAAAGCCGGTCTCCACTGAAATCCCTTTGGCCGGTGAGCAAACAGCTACACCTATGAAGAAAAATTGTAAAGGGAAAAAGAAACAAATTGCTAAAAAGATTCTGATCTATCCTATAGCACCATTAGATAGCCCTGCCATGAGCACCAGAAGCAAGAAAACCGATCTAGCAAGCCCTGCCATGGGTACTAGAAGCAAAAGGAGAGTGAGCTTCTGATTCTCGCCAAAAACTTATGATATGTATGCATGTCGACTTGATGTAATGTTTGAACATATATGTACGCGAACATTAAGAGTGTAGGTAGCTATGGACCATTTGTATTTGCTACATGAAGTGAACTATTTGAACCAATTTATATTGAGATCTCATTAGTGTTTATCTATATAATGTGGATGAATTTTATTACACAAATAATGGAGACCGTCAATACATCTTTTCTTTTTGATAAATTTTAACCACAGTAGATAAGACATAATATGGATGAATTACAAAGCTTAGATAATGCATATTATCATAACAAAATTATTTTCAAATTATAATATAATGTGGATGAATTTTAATGTCAAAACAAACCATACAAATACTCAGTGTTATAGAGGTACAAGTAATCAGCGCATTTTTTTGCAACAGGGGTATTATGGATAATTCACATGGCACTTAGCGGTGTTGGTGTCCAAAATTGACGGTAGTATCATATGGGTCATTAAAATTCGAAGACAGGGCCATACAAGGAATTTCGAAGTTTGCAGGGCCATACAAGGAATAATTGAGTTTATAGGGCCATATAGATAATTTTCTCTTTTTTCTATATGAGTTTTTACTAGAAGGTTTCTCACACAAGGTTTTTAATGAGACAACATGTGCAATGCAATTAACGAATGTGATGTACTCTTTTCTTCAAGAACCGTTTTTTCCTATTGGGTTTTCGGACGGAGTTTTTAATGAGGCATGTGCATATCGTGGTAATCATCCAAATGAGAGTGTTGTAAAATATATTGACTCTATCCTAGAACGAAAGGAGAAAGAGAAATCATAATCCTAGTCCGTTTGTATGTGGGCTCTTACTAAATTCTTAGACCTTGACAAGGACTATATATACGTGGGAGCTCTATGTTGTAATTATCAATTTTAGAGAAATAAAGAACAGTCTCCCTATCTTATGTCTACTTGTTCTACTATTTTTATATATTATGTTGATAATGAGAGACGGAGAGAGAAATGTCCTAACCACTAGCAACATATTTTATAACAAGTCTAACGGGCGGTTGGCGGTGACCATGACCATGAGGTGACCGATTGACAGCTCGGCCAACCACGACTAGGGCCCACCCGCAGTGTCACAAGGTTTGCTGTGCCGCGGTGGAATGGAACGGGCCCACCATGGCCACCTTATCTGAGTAGGGGAAAGTTTTTTAAAAAAAAATACTACTCATCGGAAACACTACTTACTAAATTTTAAAAAGTTATAATATCTTTAAGCTTGGACTATCAGCATTCGTAAATATATGCTTATTCACGTTATTAATTGATTACAAAAAATACTACTGTAATATATTTTTTAAATATCTTTTATATGAATATTGCTAGTCAAGTTAAAAGAATGGAGTTTAAAAAACATAGATGGGCTTATGTTTCCGATGGAATGAAGCATGACCCCAAGAAAACTACTCCATATATCGCTGCTTTGGACGACTCTTGAACAATCAAAGTTATCTTTATAACTCAAACCGCAAGATCCATGTGGAAGTTTAAGGTTGTAGATTAAAATAAACTAGTCTAAATAAATATATTAGTTCCACGATAATAAACAACATTGTTGAAGCAAATATCTTCAAAACTATTCATCTATTCTAAATTATAAATCTTTTTGCATTTTCTAGATACATATAGATTTTACTCTGTACCTAGGTATAGCACACATCTAGATGCATAGCAAAATTTATATATATAGAAAAGCCAAGACGACTTCCATATGGAATAGATAGATATATGCTTATGTTTTAGACTTTTTGCTACAAAAGTTTGTAGCAATGACCAACTTAAAATTTCTTGGACTTGAAAGCTATTAGCCAAACAACAGCAGACTACTAATATTGCAACTTCTTGGACTTAACTTTTTTTTTAACAGACAGCATTGCTAGTTTTCGCAGAGGGGCTATTGTTCCATCTAAGTTTTCCCATATATTTCTACTATCTTTGTTACGAGTGCTTCAAACGGTTTTGTAGAAAAGTTCAGAGCCCAGATTAGTTTATCTCAAAGGGAATTCGTCGGAAATGAACTTCTCTGTTCTCCCCTTCAATTTCACCTTGAAGTTGGAACTCCTCCGTTTCCTCTCTTCGCAAAGAGAACCAGAGCAATGCCCAAACTTTCTAGAAAACAGGATATCTTACAAGATCTCAATCTGATAAAATCTAGGAGCACTAGCTATAAGAACAATATTTTGCAGATCATCATACCGATCGATCACCAACTAATCACTGTCACAAAATAAATATTGCTCACGCGTCCGGTAATGTGCTTTCCTTTACATAGTTTATTCATCAGATAAGCAATACCAACTGCTGCAGCTAGCAGGAACTTTTTTCTAAGGCCAGCATCAGCAATTCAGCACCACAATCTCTCATGATCCTTATTTTGTGGAACCACAAGCTTGTGCCCAATCAATATAGCAAGCAATAGGTCGGCATCAGCATCACAATCCCTCATGATCCTTATTTCATACTCCTGTTGCCAGCAATAGTGACCCTTATTGTTCATGGCAGGCAATGCCATCTCTTATAGCCAGAAAAAAAGGAACATTTTGAAGATACTCGGGGCATTTTAAAGAGGCCAACTGCAAAACACGCAAAGCATATGTATGTATTTTCGTTGTCTACACCGTCTTACCATCTCGAACTCAAATCCACAACCCTATACATGGAAAATAAACAAATCAACAAACACACGCATGTCACACACGACGACTATAAGGCGGGAAGACCTTTCAAGAACATTGAGACCTATTGCTTGCTATATGGTACACAGAGAGAGAGAGAGAGAGGCGCCATAGTAAGGCCTACGTCCCTGGAAGGACGGGGATGGTGGCAGCAGGCCAAGGCAAGGCGAGGTGGCTGACGGCAAGCCTGCTAAGCTTCCAGCATCAGGGAGACAACATGGGACTGCAAGTTCCGTGGCTGAGGGCAAGCCTGCTAAACTTCCAGCTTCAGGGATACAACGCGGGACTGCCGGTTCCGCTTGGCCACCCGCACGAACACAACAGAAAGGCATGATGGCGCCCACCATGGCCTGTGGACTTCCTGCTCTCCTTTCAGGCAGGCAACTGGCGAGAAATAGGACTAGGAGTTAGATGAAACATTCAAGCATGTATTTTAGTTTACATTGTGCAAGTGCAAGACAGAAAATACTATAAAATTATCACCAGATTGCAGGAGAGCCAAATAAATGCTCAGTTGTTTCAGGTTCCAGGAGGAACATATTTGACAAAGATAAGTAAGCATGCAAAACGACTGATAACAGTTATCATACTTTTACAGACTAAAACAGATAACAAGCTTCCATGATATCTCCCTTTTGCCTTGGACCCATGATTTTATTTCTCAAAGAAAATGATTTGGTGACTGAATTTTCCATTTTTTACTTCATATACTAGTCTGGGTTACTGTTGGACTGTGCTAAATGTACTGGCCTCAAGCTGCACTCTGAAGATTAGAGCTCTAGAAAATCAAGATAGACCTGTGGGCTGTGGCTGTGGCTGTGGCACTGTAACCGTGCTGCTGAAGTCATAACTGTACAGTGAAATGTCATGGTCATAGGTCATCTTAGATTTCAGGTGATTGGGTCATGCCTAATCAAATCATCTGTGCATGTGCAGGTGCTTGACTAGGAAACCACGTTACCTACTGACATCATTGAGAACAATAGTAAACATTATATAACTAAACCATAAAGTTTGCCACAGAATAAAAGAAAATGTGTGCCTTGTATTTCTACAATAAAGTGACATTTATATTTATATACTAATTAAGCATTAGTTAAAACGTCACCCAAACCATAACCTGAATTTTCTTTTTGCTAAGTTACCAACATGAGGTCCCAAGTTCTGTAAAAGGAGCTGGTCACTAAGAGCACATAATTCAAGAACACTATAAGCCAGAAAATTAAGCTGCTGCCGGTTGCATTCAAAAAAAAAAAAAAGCTGCTAGAACTTTACAGTATTTCATTTGTTAAGATAGGGAAGTATTGCTAGGGGAAAGAACATTTTTATTCACTGTTTCACACATGTCAAAAGCTATGCAAACTCAAAAGAAAACTGAAGAAAAAAATCTCAAACTCTAATGGGCATCATATAATCGAAATATGCATAGGTAAACTCTTCTGAAGCGCAAGAGTAGAAGCAGCAGAAATTTGAACCTTTGATGCGTCTCAACTCTTTACAGAGGGTGATAAAATCTCCCCATTTCATATGACACCGTCTTATAAACCGAAGAATCTGTTCAGTAGTGAACATCGACAGGCTTTCTAGATACTCTCCATTGACACCATTCTCTTCAAAAGCCTGTCGATAGCTTCCAAGATTAATTTCCTCCAACCATAACCCTACATCCTGCAGCACAGTTATGGTCCGCGTCATTGTACATTTGTACTTAGATCTATTTGTAAGCAATGATCTATACTGGGTCTACTGTCAGAGAAAGACCATTTAGCACTTTGTACACATTATTTCACACTCATATTAGCTTCCTTATACAATGCACACACTCATTTTAATGAAAAAGATAAAAAGGGGTAAGTTTGGATGGAAGGATTAGAAACCATCTGATCCACAGAAACCAGATTTAGCAAAAATAAATGTTTTTTTGTGTATTGTGAGCACCATTTATAGTCTTATATACAATGAAAAGGGTAGCATGGCCAGTATAACCTTAGAACTCACAAAAGAAGGTCCTTGCATAACAACACCAAATGTTTGAGAATTTCTAACCTCTCTACCTCAACCAGGCATGCAATCATTTCTAACCTTGACCTTTTTTCAATGCTAAACCTATAATTTCCCCTTATGATTATACCTTCAGTACTGCAAAAGTGCAAATACATCCCTTGCTAGTTGGTAAAAGGTATCATTTTTCATGGCTTGCTAAATCATCTCCAGGTCAAGCAGCCTAATACACTTTTGCAAAGTTGCAAAAGGAACAAACCAGTTCCTTTTCCTAGCTAAGATCATAATACCAAAAAGAGGATAATTTTTCTGGTTTCCTGGGGCATGTAGGCCATTTGTGCTGGAAAAAAAATGCTCAACTAGTAGAGCAGAACGAAAAAGTTGATTTGAACACGCAAGCACAATTGTTCGTTTAGTATCAGGTCTAACAGGTGTCATCACTTATCGACAAGAAATTCAGTTCCAAGGTAAATAAAGCACAAATTTGTCGAAATCAAAATAACAAGCCCATTTCTACAATAATTGTTTTCCCACAGACAGCTAAAGAGCCAAATGCTTACTTTGACAGGTTCCATTAAGTTAGAAATTCCTAAAATGTCAAGTTGTCAATAGACGAAATGGTAAATCAAATTCAGCACAAGCACTTTCCCAACCGCTCCCCACCTGCCTCACTCAACTTATACTGTTGTTCTCAGCCAACAATGATAGATAAATGAAGTTTTAAAACAGTGTGGCAGTACCTTTCATTTAGTTAAAGTCATTGCAAATCTCTCATTTGCGATTATCTAAAAGCCGGAAACCTACATTAACAATAAAGCTAGAGAAGGAACAGTCCATGCTTCACAAAAGAATGTTCCTTGCCAGCATCCCAATTATGTTATCCACAAGGCAAAATTACATGTTTTCTTCGTTTAGCAGTACAGTTTAAGGAGTGCGATGGTATGTGAAACTGCAGAGACATGTAAATGATCCCCTCAGCAAATTAGTAAAAGAAGTTACAGAATGAATTCTACAAAAGTACAAATTAATCAACAAAAGTTGTAGGACCACTGATTTCCAAATTTTATACTGTACTACCCACACAAATGTGAAAAAAGACAACATATAAACAACAGAAATTTATGACCTTACCACACAAAAGAAATTCAGTAATTGGAGGAATCTAAAAGTTAAGGCAAAAGGTACTCCATAGAGTGAACAATGACTATCCCTAATTCCCAAATCCCTTATTGGGTTAAAGAAGCAAAAGATGGCAAAAGGTACTCTCCAAGTATCATAGAGTGAACAATGACTATCCCAAATTCCCAAATCCCTTATTGGGTTAAAGAAGCAAAAGATTCACACTTTATATTTCGTTTGTTACCCAGCACCCGAGTGTCCTAAAATTCGCAGGGAGATCAATCATGCATTTCGACATCCAAACTACTGGTATTCATGAGCCCTAAAATACCATTGAAACTGAAACTAAGAACAAAAAACGATAGAAGTCGCAGCACCTGCACAGTCCAGATGAAGAAATCCAGCGGCTCCGGCAACCGTCCCCGGCTCATCTCCGCCTCCCTCCCAACCGGCGGCGAGGCCCTCCTCCTGAAAACAGGTCACCCCCGCTCAGATCAAGAAACGGCTCTGCCATGAGGCCAGAACCAGGGGCGGACCCAGTAAAGGACATGGGTGTACACATGTCACCCAATACTTTTTTTGCCAAAAAAAAGGAAAAAAATGAAAGTTTGCAGGCACAATACATGTATACTACACTTGTAATTGGATCAGATCAGATCCGAATACAGATAGTTTTGGTTTGCGAAGTTGCGTGCTCGGTCTCCCACAGCAGGAACGAAAGAGAAGGGTGAGCGTACCTGGCGGCTTCTCGTCGCCGGCGAAGGTACGCAAGATGGAGGCCTGGGAACCTGGCGTAGGGCGGCGGCGGCAGGGGCCGCCCAGTCGCCGCCACCAGAGACAGACAGCGCACGGCGGACACGGGAGAACGACGAGAGAGAGAGAGAGTGAGAGTATGCCGGGGGAACCAGAGAAGAAAAGTTCACTAATTTCTTTTAGCCCCTGATGATCAAAGTGTCACGTCGGGCAGAAAAAACCTGATTTTTCTTCTCAGCCTTTTTTTTTTGAAGGGGAGGAGAGTTATATAACCACAGTATATCCTTAAATTATATATATATATATATATATGAAAATCTGAGATAAATAAGGTACAATAGTCTATCTAATTTTTTTAACGTCTTCTTTCCTACTCCCTCCCTCTGTCCTAATTTATGCGTCGAACGATCTCTAAATCAGGATATACTTAACATCGAGATACGTAAAAGGTGTTTTGAACTTGACAACTAAAATGACTAATAAATAGGGACAGATGGAGTAGTGGTTTTTTATACAGCCGATGTTCTAGCTAAACCTAGCCTTATTCAATACCAAAGTCAGAGTGAAGTCTTTATGTCGAATCCAATGATTAACTTCAAAACATTGGACATACCCAAAATCTAACGTTCTAGAACCAATTTAAAACGTCTCTGAATCGATGAAATAACATTTTGATAGTTATATCGTTGAGTACAATATAGGATGTAAATTCATACCTCTAGTCCTTGATTTTCTCTTCACGACCATCGACGATGAAATCGATGACCCAAAGTAAATGTTCTTATTGGGAGTGCACAGAAACACCCCTATGAACGCACCTACACAAAACCTACCCCTATGAGCATCTTTAAAGATTGAGCTGACAAATCATCAATATTGACGAAGTCATCACAGACGTCTCGCTGTCGACGGAAATGTTGCCTATCATTGAAGGCACAAACAGCTGTTAAATCTTAGAGTTTTCGCTTCCACGGGGAGTCAAACATAGGACCTGAGATACTACTGAGGCTCTTGTAGGCTCTAGCTTATCTAGGCATTCTCCCCCAACTAGGGCCCTGTTGCTTGAACTATGTTTAACAATATTTTTCAGCGAACGAACAATATTTTTCTCTAACAACAAATCAGCATAAGCCAAATTTTAGCAAAACGAATAGGGCTGAGGTTTAAGTCTTGCTGATCTATTTATTGAAGTAGGATATAGGTTAATTATAGGTGAAGAAAGACGGACTATGGTCATGAAATTCATAGATGCACAATAATACCAAGTTATCTTTTAAGAGACTAAATTTTCTTCATTTTCAACCATTGTTTTAGCCATCTTTAAAAATACTTCATCTATTTTGAATTATAAGACGTTTTAATTTTTCTAAATATATAATTTTTACTATATATTTAGATATTACTATATCTAGAGACATATAGTACAATGTTTCTAGAAATAAAAAACTTATTACAAGGTCCCTGGATGAAGTTAGCTAGGGTGCTTAGGCGTTAGGTGGAGTCTCCAAGTCTAGCACCTACTTCCATCTGCCCTTAAAAAAGTCATTCTCACTTAAAAAAATCAATAACTTTTAAATTTGATCAAATATATTTAATAAAATATCAATATTTATGGTATATAATTAGTATCATTAGGTGATTGTTAAATATATTTTTAAAATAAATTAATTTGGAGATATAAATGCCACACGTATTTTCACAAACTAGTCAAAGTTGTGAAAGTTTAACTAGCATAATTTCCATAACGAGTTTTTTTTAAGGGACGGAGGGAAGAGAGTAGCTTTTTAGAACATTGTATATATGTGATCCATGTTTTCTTATTTATAATTTTTTTGGCATATAGGGAGAGCCTCGGCTAATGTGTATTTCGCAAGCTCTAACAAAGTCTATATTTTTTTTGCTCCAGGGTCCACGTGGGACTTCTCGGCTCCGTGTTTTTTTTGCCACTAGAAAAATTTTATGGAGTCAAATGCAGGTGCTCTAGAAACTTCAGGGAAAAAATTATGGAGCTATGAAGGGTACTCTAGAAACTTCAATTTTTATGAAGCTGGTCCACAGTGAAACAAATAGACCCTAAATGAACTAGCTCATTGCAAAATGACCTCCGTTAGCAGAACTCTCCCATGTTCTGCTCCTCGTACCGCGTACTGTAACATGCACTATTCACACCGCCGAGATTTTTCTCTCTCTTTATCACACCGCACAGTTTCAAAAAGAAAAGTATACCTCCAATCATTTGTCGACAACATTGCAAGTGCTTTTCATCAAAATGTGGATTTGTCATGTGCAGAACCTCCAATTAATTATGCCGGCACGAACATGTATGATAAGCTAGTAGCGCGCTGTCTGAAATCAGAATGATAGGCTTGGGGTCCACTTGAAGCGAACGAGTTTGTCGAATCTCGTTTCAAAATATGCCAAATTTTCTACGAAAATCACTTGTAAAGCTCCGTTTGCCACGGCTCATCCAAAACGGCTTCATCGGTGAAGCAAAAGCCGATGAAGTCAGAAAAACTGCTTTTTTCGACTTCGAGTTCATTTTAATCCCGGCTTATAAAACGGCTTCACGCTACCGATTTACGTAAAATAGATAAAGCCGAAGCCGACATAAGCCGTGCCAAAGAGGCCCTAAATAGGGGATAAAAAAAACTGACTATAAGAAGATTTGTTTTCTTAGGTATATTAATCTGTTTTCTTGCTAAAAAATCAGTGATTGTTGACTCCGTTAAATTAAATTCATGCGTGCTCAGAAACACAAATTAAAGAATAGAGGAGAAATAATACCTGAAGGTAGGCCAGTGACGCAGCTGCTTTGCAAGACA